AACGAGGCCTTCGATGAGATCTACAGGAAGCATTCCAGATGGGTCATCCCGGAGAAGGACCTCAGAGAGGAGCTCTGCAATCTCATCGCGGAGATATTAGTCCCACGCTACAGGATCTACATGAAGAACTACGGCCCACTGGTTGAGAAGGAAGAAAGCGCCCACAAGTACGCCAAGCACACCGTCAAGTCCCTGGAGAGCATAATCTGCTCCCTGTTCCAGCACAGCCCCGGGAAATCATCGAGATTCAAAGACAGACCCTCCAATGGGAAGGTCAATGACGTTGTCAACGCAGCCCGGTTTCATCATCCTGCTCCCGCTGTTGTATAATATGAACTCCCCAGTCGGGTATACTCAAGATCAGAGAATGAATATTGTACGTGGGGCAGAAGAGCCAGGGGGCTCAAACAGCTCCAGCTCCAACTCCAGAGGAGAAAACCGTTGTCCAGATTTTATTCCATTCCTTCTCCCCTCGTATATCTTCCCCTCTTGTTCATTTCTCCCCAGGAATCGAGAATCGATGCTGGAGGCGGTGGAAAGGTTGCGAATTCGCATCTACCCCATATGCGCATCTGACTGCATCTCATCAGATTATCTTTCATCGATGATGCCCTACTGTTTAGTGCCAGCAAAACACTCTGTGGGTATGATGATCATCGGCCTGTGGGAAGCTCTCTAGCACACTCATCGGATCTGCCGCATCCGCCGATATTACTCTTATTGTTGGCAATATTATCACCATCAGCACCATCAATAGTAATCCACCATGTCTGCGATTAATGATCTCACGGCCAGAATTTCCGTTTAACGGTGAGCGGAATCTTTGAGATTCATCACATTCTGCGCCAGCGTGTCCCTGCGAAGATCCGATTGTCAGGATCAATAATCAGGCATGTCGTTGGTGACCGATTTCATGGGCATATTCGTCATTGAACCATGTCTGGAATTCGCTGCATTCATTCATTGGAACTCATTAGAATCTGTTGTCAACATCTTATTATTTTCGGTCATCAGCAAGGGGCTTCGCAGCAATTTCAGTTACCTGAGATGAGAAGTCAACCTCCTGGGGGAGGTCCAGAGCTCGCCCAGGGAGAGTTTCCCCTCTTCTTGAGCAGTCATGAGATGCTTCGGAGAATCAGTACAAAATGAAAATTATATATATATATATAATCGATTTATTTAGTGGGATTAAATGTTCTGATTTCTGGTGGTTTCATGACATTATAAGAAATTACAGATATTTAATTTTCGGGATATTTCCGTTCTATTTAAACGTTTTCCTCCGTATATGGCCCACAATGCGGTTAGATCGTGTTCTTCAGGGAGAGTATTTTTTCCTAAATAAACCCTTTTAATTCACATTATCTAGTTTATAAAATATGGCGAACCGTAGTTTATCTGTTGATGCGGATGCCCATCTGGGAAATTATTAGCCTTTATTCTCCTGCTCTCCAATTGAATGCGTCAAATTATTTCCGATGTGACCATCCTGGTTTCTTCTCGGCTGCTGTCTGCTTCTGTGAACCGATGACAGCCTGGCAAGATCTCTCTCTCTCTCTCTCTCTCTCTCTCTCTCTCTCCCTCCTCCGACCTAGGTATCTGCCTGCTGGATTCGCTGGCCGGATCTGGTACATGTGGCAAGTCCTGAGGCCTCTTCCTCATGTCATCTGGAAATCCTCATTTTGCCACGCAAAAAAAAAAAGCCCACATTTGTCAAGCATCTTTCTCGCGTCTTCAGAAAATAAAAATGCTTTTTTTCTCATAATCGTGCCTAAAAAACCCACTCTTTGCCAAAAGTCCTCATCATATATATATTTTTAACAAACTTATTTTATGAAAAATCCATGGTGACACTCAACTTGATGACATAATAGATAATATTAAATGATTAATCGTTTAATAATCAGATAGTAGAAGAGATTACGAGATAAACTAATTTAAGCGCCATTTTTTTTCAGTTATCTTATTTCCGTAGGCCTTCTCAGGGAGGCAATTTATGAGAGTTCCGCTCTAAGCCCAATTTTATGGGCCTTCCTTCTGGTCCGGGCTGGGTCAGGGCTCTGCAAAGCTCGGGCCCAACCCACCAACTAGTGAGTGAGTACTCTTTTCTTTTCCTTTTTATTTTTTATTTTTTATTTTTTACATAGCATCAAAGTTGGGCTAACATTGAGCCTAGATGAGCCCATTTGAAATCGAGCACTAATGGGCCTTCTCGTTTACTCTCATTCTAATCATACAGATCCTGATTTGATCAAACGGACACGAAGACACCACATTGTGCAAATCCTTCTCCCAAGGGAAGGAGGGGGGTTGATGCATTGTAGATAGAGAAATGATATGCTGGCAACCGACTTTAGATTCTCTTTGTATGTCTTTGTGTTTATAAATCATCGTCTAATCCATTTTCTCTACCAGTGTCAAATACCTTCTTCAAATCATAACATGATTTTCTCTATTTGTGATGGTATCCTTGGTACTCAATGATGGAATGCAAAGTTTTGAAAACTATTTTGTAAAAGGATAGGGTTAAACATCTTTGCTTCTTTGGATTGAATCATACTTTATGGTTCTAAATTAGACAACTTGCCATCTAGTATTATGATTGGATTGTGTCGAGCTTTTTTTCTCATTACAGCCTATTTTTTAGTCCATTTCAAAGAAAGATGAGTGGAAAAGGACACTAGTCTAGCTCATGGAGCTCAAAAGGTAGAGGTGTAAATTATTCTTGCTAGTATAACTCGCATCCTAGAATTAGATATTAGTGTGAAGTGTGAGGTTGGATGGAAAAGTCTAGATCTTTATGACCTGTTTGTGTAGATGTTTCAATTTTTTGAATTAATTTTAAATTTTCTCAATGATCAAGGTAGAGAGTAGAATTGGTTATAAGCAGAAAAAAAGTGTGGGGTTCTTGGTGATCACTACTTTTTTATCTTTTTGCAAGAAGTAGGTGGACCATTATTATTAATATATGTCTTTTTCTTTTTAATTTCTCTAGACTGCACACTTTGGGTATTGAATTATTTTATGTGAATTCTCTCATGTTGTTTTTATGGAACAATTCTTACCCCTTAATTTTCATTTTTTCATGTATCTTGACATAAACAAAACACTGAATTTTATGTAATTGTTGTGAACCATCCATTGAGATGAATGGATAATGAGAATAGAATTTGGGGCTCAGCCTTTTAGACTACGTGAAAAAGGTATCCAATTTATTTAGAAAGAAGTTTCTTCTTCATTGAGTAATGAACATTGATTAATTTTTTGTCGAATAGTAACTCACATTGTCTTTAGATAAGTTTAACTAGTTAGAAGAAAAAATATTTTTTATTCTAAAAAGATGTTTTGTTGATTTTTTAGCTTTTAGATCTCTCATTTATATCGCTAATTCTTTGGAAAGAGTAGAGTTGACCTTAATTTATCAAATATTTGATGTTATTATGATTTTAGATTGATGTACAAGAGCCTAGATTTCATTTCTAAATAATATACAAACCCTAAGGACTTATGATTGACCTCCCTAATTTGCCAACAATTTGATCTTGTGAATGTCCAGAAGTTAATTGCTTACGTTGTATTTTCCAATTGTGCATTTAACAGTTTGATACTTTTATTAGGTTGGCAAAAAGCTGATTACAAGAAAATACATAAAAATGTCAAAATGAAATGATGAGTAACTTCATGTGTATTATTGTAAAAAGTTTCTACTTAATGTGTATTTGGGACCTTATTGTATATATTTTGTGTGTGAACTATGGTCCTCATATAAGCCTGATTTGATGATGTCATTCATGTTTCTATAGCAAGAAAATCCACGTCTTCATGTAGTTTTCTTGGTGTCACTTGAGAAAAATAATAACTGAACAATTCCCATGTTGTATAATAACTTAATTTAGGTGCCTCAACATTTCAAATTAGTGAACAACTTACAAGAATTCAGTCTAGAATTTCTTATGATGTTATTCATTAGATCATCAATATGTGAAATGATTATTATAATGTTTATTTTTATATAATAACTAAGGTAATGAATCAATGTAAAATATGAATTATTTAAGTTCAAAGACATTAATACTTGTTTGAGAATGATGTAATGAACTTATGTTTAATTTGATAATTTTTACTATTTATGTGATATAAATATTTTCTGATTTTTAATCTATGTGCTAACATGATTATCTGAGGTTTATAATCTTAAGAATTATTTTTTCAATTGTCAAGAAATTACTCATGAAGTTAAAATTCGAAATATTTATCTTTATTTTTTAGGAAATTTATGATGACTTTTTTCAACCCTTTTTCAGTAATTTATTTTTTTTCAAAATTATGAGAAAACATGTAGTGATTTATGTCTATATCACTAAGCGTATGTCTCAAGGGTTTATGGGCAAAGTCAATATTTTTTGGCCAATCAATAGGTTATAGTATATCATCCATATATACATCATCTTCCACACTCTATTTTTAGTGAGTGAAAGGTCTATGGATAATTGTGGTTTTTATAATGATTGTTGAGATATTATTGTACGAAAATTGAAATGAAGGTCCAAGGTAAATAAATTAGATGATAAATGTCTAAGTGACAAGTGTAAATGAGCGAAGTGAATACATGTGAATTCAATTTCTATTTTTATTGTGTTGAATTTTTTTAATCATTCTTAATATATTATTTTTACACTTTTAAAAACATTTTATATTCATTTTTTGGTATTGTATTTTCAAGTGATAGATGATTAGGGTGATTTCTAGAATGTTTGTGAATTTTATTTCTAATTGTATTTTGTTTTATTTTCTATTTCACTTATTCTGTCATTTGGGGGATAACAGACAACAATATTAAGTATTTGATATTTTTAAATCACCTTTCTATTCCACTTTATTACCACAATGATACTATGTTCCTAAGTGACAAATAGGAACAAGTTCATGCATTTCTTTTTTGAGTTCTTTTTCTTGCAGTTTTAATATTTTTGGTGAAAACTAACTTTGTTACAATCATCATGGTATATTTATTTCGAAATATTACATAGTTTTTAACAATATTTGACTAATAATCATTTCAAAATGTCGATGAGGTTGCATTCTCTCTCTCCCCCTTATTTTTCAGATTTTTGATTTAATTTCCATCATTTTATTTTAATTTATTTTTGTGATATTATCTATATTTTCTTTGGAATATTTTGTAGGCCTTGAGTCTTTTTTTAATGATGAACATGGGAACACATAAAAAATTAAATATTTAGAGCTCAAGCAATTTGGAAGATTTAAAGCACATAGGAGATTATTTTATTTTTTTTATTTTCTATTTAATTTTATTTTAATAAATTATTTAGAATGAAAAAAAATCACATTGAGATTTATCATTATCTTTATAGACAACCTGAATTCATCCAATTTTTATTTTTATTTTTATTTTGATACATTTATAAATATTTGAAATTTGATCATTTTGTTTAGAACTATTGAAGTGATATCAATTATCTTAGTAGTTCTTTCCTTTTAGCCGTTTTCACCCATTCTATGATATTCATTTCTTGTCCATTCATTTCATCTTCAAAAGACATGAAGGCATAAAATGAGATTATTACTATAGAAAATCTATTATTGACTTTTAATTTCTCATCACTTGGAAGTTTGTTGAGCAATTTATGTCTTCATATGCGTCTAATACTTGAGTATCTGCATCCATTGTTCTTCAGAACTGCACCCATTGATTCTCCTAGTTTAGTGCTAGTTAATTTCTTATTACTGTCTATTAGAGATGTTCAATCAACCCAGATGATGTTTCTTTTTTCCTTAATATCCTGAATCAAATATAAAGTCCAACAAATACATGTCATGTACTCCCCCTTGATGATTCCTGAATTAAGATCATCTATATTTAGAATCTATATCTTGAGATGAACAACACATAAGCACACATCATCTCTCTCTCTCTCTACTCTCTCTCTACTCTCTCTCTACTGATCTCACCACCCAATTTCTAGTTTGAGGATTATTTCTTTTGATAGATACTCCACAATCAACTCTGTTCATCTGATATGCTGCTTAACATCCATCCAATGGCAGGTGTACCACTCAAGCTTCGTCAATGATGACGGCGTCAAGAAAGCATTTGAATGCCCTCTCCTTCATCTGAAAACCCACATCAAAGGCCTCGCTCCGGGCGCTGACCGAGTAAGGAGGGGATCTTACGGCAGCTGTTCTCACTCCTCCCGTTGACTTTCAAACGCCATTGACATTGTGGTGGAAGCCATTATCTTCTTCCTGGCGAAGGTCTTATTCAAGCACTTTAACGTGCAGAGCTCGGCCGACAAGCTCCCCAAAGCTCCCCGTCCACCTGACACTGTACATTAACGTGACACTGACGTGGCTCGAGGGCTACTGAACCCTAACCGAGGGCAGCAAGGCCATCATCAACCTCGGCCTGGAGACCGTACCTGTCCCCGTAGAACAGGGCTTCCCCTTCAGCGGCCTGTTCACTCCTCAGTCCAAGAACGAAGCATGCTCTCTCACTCTCTCTCTCTCTCTCTCTCTCTCTCTTTCTAAACAGTGTCTGATAATTGTGGGTTGAAAGTGAGGAGGGGGAGGGGTGGGGGTCTTTTTTTTGCAGAGTTATTGAGGAATTATCTGAAGCAGATCAGGGAGGAGACGAGCGGGAAGTTGCTGAGCTGCGTCTACAGGCATAACGGCACGCCCAACAAATGGTGGCTCACCCTCGCCAAGAGGACCTTCATGGACATGGCCATCCCCCAGCCAGCCCCCTCGCTGAAACCAGAGCCCCCCCCCCCCCTCTCTCTCTCTCTCTCTGTTTCTCTCTCTGGAGTTTCTGTCTCTAACAGGGAGGTAAAACTATTGATTTGGGTTGGTTCATACGTTCTCGTCGGCGTCGGCGCCGCCTGGTTTTCCCAGCCGGGATTTCTGCAGGGAAGAAAGCGCCTCCCGAGGCCTACCGGGTGAGCAGAGGTACGTGTAGGCAGACATGCCGGCGAGGGCGGCGGCGACGCCGCCGATGCTGAAGACGCCCGGATTCGAGCCGAAGAAGAGGAACCCTCCGAGGAGGACGACGCACGTCTTGAACTGCCCCAGAACGACGTGCGACACCGCCGACGTTGCCCTGCGAAAACGGAAAACAGGGGAACAATCACCCAAGCTGCCCCACAGAAGAGAGAGAGACAGCTACAGAGTTAGAGAGAGAGAGAGAGAGAGAGAGAGCTGACCCTAGAGCGAGAGCACCGGATAACTGCAAAAGAAACCCGAGAAGAGCGGAAAGGAGGATGGCTGAGTAGCTGGCGGCGCTCCAGTGGAAGGAGAGGGCACCGGGGGGATCGAGCCACGGGATCATGGTGAGCAAGAAGAAGAGGGTCATCGGCGTCGTCTTCCACATCAACCTGCCGAGTCAACGGAGTCGCTGACTTCAGATAAAGAACCCGTGGCTTCAGACAAGGGCCCATTCTTCGCCGGTGGCGGCGGAGGAAGGGAAGAACTCACGCAAGGGCAGTCCAGTTGTGGCGCTGCTGCAAGCTGGACCAGAGCACCTTGTTGGCGGCGCTGGGGACGATCCAGGCGAGGGCCACGCAGGCCCCGAAGAGCTGGAACTGGAGGTCGGTGACGGTCGCCACCGCCACGCCGGCTGAGACCACGGTCAGCGCCACCACCTGCGGAGGCGCCTCCTGCCCATTTTAGGGTTCCGGTGAAGACCAGGAGATGAATGATTTCCGAAACTCACCTTGTGGAAGGAAACCGTCTTCCGGAAGAGGATGAACTCCGCCAGGACGATGGTGGGGGTCACCGCTATCTTCGCCATCTGGTAGAACCCGACGCTATAGAGAGAAAGCATTCAAGGTTTTGCAGACAGCCTTGTGAGAGAAAACTGGGGTATGGGGAATTCACCTGTTGTACTTCAAGCTGACGTTGGCGAGACCGGTGGAGACGGCCATGACGACGGCGAGAACCAGGAGGGTGGAGAAGGGGGTCGCCCTGGCCGGCGGCGGCGAGGGAAGCAGGGAGGCGGCGTTGAGTAGACCCATCAGGAGCCAGCTCACCACGTAGTGGATGAAGGTGAGGAAGATTGGGTAGTTGAAGCCCACTCTGCCCAGAACCTGATGATGAAAAAGAAGAAGAAGCAGAAGGAGAGGAAGATGATGATGATGATGATGCTGATGAAGAAGAAGAAGAAGAAGGAGAGGAAGATGATGATGATGATGATGATGAAGAAGAAGAAGGAGAGGAAGATGATGAAGAAGAAGAAGAAGAGGGAGGGGAAGATGATGCAGAAGAAGAAGAAGAAGAAGAAGAAGAAGAAGAAGAAGGAGGGGAAGATGATGCAGAAGAAGAAGAAGAAGAAGAAGAAGAAGAAGAGAGAGAGAGAGAGAGAGAGAGAGAGAGAGAGAGAGAGAGAGAGAGAGCGAGATAGAGAAGAGGATTTACGAGCTTGTTCATCATGATGATGCCGACGGAGACGAAGAAGTTGAAGGAGAGGGCGATGGTGGGGCTGCAAGCGCGCTGCTGCAGGCGCTTGGCGCCTTCCGAGGTCCGGAGCTCGCTGAAGAGGGAAGCTCGAAGATCGTTCAGAGCTTTGGCTTCAGGGAAGGGAGCCATGGGAGCAGGAGGAGGAGGAGAGAGAAACCCCAGCAAGAGAAGATGGCAGTTAGCACTCACAGAAAGAGTGTTCCATCCCTTCTCAAGAACATAAAACTTGCATCGGTGTAAAGATCGAGCAACCCAGACAAGGGGAGATAAGTCAACACATGGGACAAGTCAAAAATTAAGAGATAAAGATGTTGCCAAAGGCTCGAGTTTTACAGGCAAACATTGGGAGGTACCCAGTTAGTGCCCCCGGTAGGAGAAGATAGCCCATAGAATGATATAATAAAATAAATTAAATATCGTGCGTAACATACACGGGTGGGTCTACTCTAGTCAACGGACCAAAATTCTATCCCTCGTCCGATTCTGATCCATTGACTTATGATTGCAGGATATTGACATAAAAGAACAAAGATGAATTTTCATCAGGTGGTGGCATTTCCATTCACAACCGACAGCAGCGGGAAGCTTCCATCATTAGGGTTTTAATGGCGGCTTCCTGCTCCCTTCGTCGCTCGCCCACACCGGGAAAGGTCATGCTGCGATCCTGCGAGAGGGAGAACTTCTCCGGGCATCGGAAGTATCCCAGAATCGACGACTCTTTCAGATTAATCACCATCCACATCCTCCCCCAGGGGGGCTGTTATGATGCTTGGAGATGGGTCGTGTCGATTTCTACCCTAATTGCTCCAATCTGGCGAGGATAAGGCGCCGACAAGAACAGAGAAAGAGCCGAGGAGGCGATTTCTACCCAAGATCAGTACTATGAAACGGGAGATGGTGAGGCATTGATCTGCTCACCCCCGAAACGCAGCCGCACTGTGCCGCCGAAACTAAGAAAAGGCCCCGAAGAATGAACTAAAGGAGATGATTTAAAAGGGGAGGAGGTGGTGAATGGGGGTGATTTCCACTTTTGGGGCGGATCAGGGGAGGTTCCAGCAGCCGCTGACTCTCCCCCACAGCCAACATTCATGTGCCCCGAAGCCAACCACGGGAGGGAGGGATTACCTCTTTCGCCGGCGTCGCTGTCCTTGCGCTTGAGCAGCCTCCGGACGCCGTTCCTCGTGAAGAAGTTGATCATTCTTGCCGTCGCTCTCTCCCTCTCCCCCCCTCTCACCCTCAGACGAACCCTCACACACGGAGGAGCACAGCAGGTGGCCGGCTGCCAGCGCTCTCTCTCTCTCTCTCTCTCTCTCTCTCTCTCTCTCTATGTGTACAGCCCTGCTAGAGAAGCACACGGAGAGTGCTTGGGGGAAGCTGTCCGCGGCGGCGGTCGTCGGTTTTCAGACAGGCGGTGGCAGTAACCAGGCTCTCTCTCTCTCTACATCAGCTTTACTTTTTAAATACGCCGACAATAGGAGGTCGACGTGGCAAGTGACTAGGGTCGGTGGCCTCTATTTTTCTTCTCCCCTGCTGTTGGTTAGATATTTTCCCCTCTTAGTTCGCCAGGTCGACTTGGGACTGCCTTTTTATGGGTTTTTTTTTTTTTGGATCCGACAAACCACAGAATATTCGATTTGTCCTTTCCTTTTCAATAGCACCCCGAAACTATTTTTAGGTTTTCTGCTCGTGTACTACCACACAGGATCTCTCTCTCTCTCTCTCTCTCTCTAAACGTGCGCGTATGCTCTGTGTGCGTAGCAATATATAGGTGTATATATATGTATTTATCTATTTATCAACAAACTGGCATGCATTGAATTGCTATCCCAAGGTAGAACAAATGAAGAAAATTTCGTGAAAAAAGTCAACCATATCTCGAAATGAAAAAACAGATGAAAATCAGATTTCCATCCACCCGCCACGAGCTGACGTCTCCGCCGATTCTCGTATAAACGACGCTGATATTCCGAGAAAGAGAGGTCGACAGCTGGACGAAGAAGGCGGCAGTTCATCCGGAAATGTATATTAAAGACCGTCAGATCCTCCGTCTGGTTGATCCGCCATGAGTCGCTGTCTCCGACCTCGCTGCACTCTCCTCCCCCGCATTCGGAGCACGCTCCCACGCAGGCGTCCTCTCTCGGCTTACGTGAGGCTCGGTGGCGGCTGGTGGAAGTCGTCGGCGGGGAAACTCACCAGGTCCCATGCGGCGGGCATTTCACGCTGGCGAGCATCCTCGGTGGCGTTCATGGCCACCAGGGCCCGGGTCTCGGCGAGCTCCCTCTGGGTCGCCTGTATCTCCTGCTGCAGCCTCGTGATGATCCCCACGCAGCCGTAGACGGGGTCTCTCATCCTCCAGTACGCCTCGTAGGCTATGGAGTCCGCCGCCTGTCCCCTCTGCTCGACCGGCACCAGCTGGATCACAACAAAGGATAAACGACGGCCATCGTTGTCAAGTATATGTACACAGATGAGAGATGATGTTATTCTGGAGGAAGAGGGAAGTCGCTATAGAAGGACCTGAAGCATCCTGCAGACGTTGCTGGCGCCAAAGATGCGGTGGACGCAGGCGAATCGGTCGGGGTGGGTGGAGGGGAAGTAGGGGGCCAGCACACAATCCTCAGTGCATCTTCTCCGGAGATAACGGCAGGCGGCGCAGCGGGTGGAGTTGGACATGGCTGCCGGATTCTGCTGGATACCCGCGGAGATCCTAATCCCGAGGAAGAGGAAGACTAGGAGGAAGAGGGAATCAGGTGACAGATCTTGGAGTATCTCTGCTGATCCTGGATGAGTGAATAGAGAGGGGAGAAATGGTAGGGGGAGGGTGGGAGGGTAGCAGACCAAGAGAAGAGGGATAGAGATTGAACAAGGACAAGGAGAAGGAGAAGAAGGGGAGAGAGAGAGAGAGAGAGAGAGAGAGAGAGAGAGAAGGGACTCCCCCAACGGCTAGAAAAGACAAAAAAAGAATTTGGGGTGAGAGACTAGAGGAGACCCCAAGAAGAACTTCCCAGTTTGGAGCAGCCGCCGGAAAGGGAAATGAAGAGAGAAGAGTGCGAGCTCTCTCTCTCTCTCTCTCCCCCTCTCATTCATGAGGTTGACCAGCCTGCAGTGGGCCCCCGACAGCGCCGCCTTGTAGAGCCCTCGCCGCAAGCCCAATTAAAATATTGATTAGGAAGTTCCGACAATAAAAAATATAACTTAAAAGGTTCTTAAATTCTATTTAATGATTACTCTGTAAGCTCGAAATCCGCAGGGTACATGCCGGGTCGCCGGAATTGGACGTGCCCAACGCTTCATTCCTCCCATCTGCCCCACGTCGAGAATGTCCATGGATTGAGCAAAACGCCTTCCCGAACCGGATCAGCGGCATTAGGTTATCGAGACCATCGAGTCTGCCATCTTGGTGTCGAGCCACCCCATCGCGAGTTCTTTATCTGAAAGTGTTAGGATGGTCCACCGCTCGACCTACCGGCACGGCCGCGCCCGTGGGAGCCGCGAGGCCTCCTACTGCGGGACGAATCACGTTGTTTTTCATGTTCTGATAGGCGTTCACGCTGAATTCTGCACTACCAACGAGGAAGGAGATTGTAGAAGGAGGAATCGGGCGGAACTTCGTATCCCGGGCTTGCTGGAGGCTACGATCCTCGACGACGCATTGCAGATTCTGATCTTTCATTCCTTCCGACTCTTTTGCTCTCCTC